TTGAGAGAGAAGATTCCAGAAGGTAATAATGATGAGTGGCTTACCTATTCAATGCCAACTTTATTGTTGTTAAGTGATGTTGAGTTGGTTCTTAGTGAGCCTGTATAGGGTTTCCTAGGAGTGGCTGGTGGGTTTGAACCACCAGCCTTATGGACAGCAGTCCAGTACTTGTCCTACAACACCACACCAGGACTCATCCTGCTAACTGTTGTTTTGTTGTTAGGTGCCATTGAGTCTGTACTAACTCATAGCAACCCTACATACCACAGAACAAAACACTGCCCCCTCCTATTCTGGTGCTGAAAGTGTTCCACCATTATTCATAATGTTTTCAGTGACTAAGTATTTGGCAGTAGTCCGTCTTTCCTTCTTCCTAGTTTGTCTTTGTCTGGAAGCTCAGCTGAAACCTGTCCACCATGAGTGACGTTGCTGGTATTTTAAATACTCATGACATAGCTTCCAGCCTGACAGCAACACACAATCCATCACACTACAACAAACTGACAGATGGATGGTGGCTGACTGGTACCCTGAAAATTCTTACCAGTACCCCTGACTCTGTTAACATGTCAGCATCTCATTTGTTTATTCCCACCTCCCTTACCCCAAAGGAGCTGTGGTAGCATGGTGATTATGAATTGGGTTGCCAACCTCAAGGCCAGCAGTTTGAAACTACCAGCTGTTCCGCAGGAGAAAGATGAGGCTTTCTGCTCCCATAAAGATTTACAGCCTTGGAAAACCCTGTACAGGTTGCTATGAGTTGGAACTGACTCCATGACACATCACCACCACCCCTACCTCAGACCTGATTGTGTTTAACAGTTGACCTCATTTTGCTAAAATGTATTTGCAACATTCAGACTGGGAATTCTGCCACCCTCTGGTTCCCCAGGTCCTCGCCAACCTCCGTAAGTTCGTGCTCACCTAGCTAGCCACATCTGCTCTCATGAAACCTTCTAGGTTTATCTGACCCTGGCTGTGGTCACTGGGTACAAGGTGGATTCTGAGAGCTGAGCTTGAGAAGGACTGTATAGGACAGCTGTCCTTACTCTTTGTGTCCTTAGGAGTTGGTATGTGTCCTTCATGTGCTCTTAATATTGTATTCCTGTTATTGGTGAATTGTCTGTCTCACCAGAAGTACCTTTAAAGTCCCAAACTCTTAGTAGCTGTGACTGTGATTTGATCCGGAAACAGGGTCTTTAGAGATGTAATCAAGGTAAGATGTGATCATACTGGATTAGAGTGAACCCTAAATGTAATTTATAAGGACTCATGTCCTTATAGGAGTCCTGATGTGGCACTGAAGGATAGTGCACTGGACTGCAAGGTCAGTTTGAGCTGCAAGGTTGGCGGTTCAAACCCACTAGCTGCTCTCCAGAAACCCTGTACAGGGTCTCTATGAGTCAGAACTGATTGGGCGGCACTTAACAGCAAATGTGCTTATAAGAAGGTCATACGAAGATACAAAAGAGACAGAGAAGAAGGGCATCAGAAAAGGAAAGCAGAGATTGTTATGCTCACAAGCCAGGGAACACCAAGGATTGCTGGCAACCACCAGAAGTTAGAAGAGGCAAGGACAGATTTTTTCCTAGAGCCTTTGGAAGGAGTATGGTCTTACTTATACCTCAATTTGAGATTTCTGCCTTCAAAGCTTTGAGAAAACAAATTGTGGTTATTTTAAGCCATTCAGTTTGTGGAAATTTATAATGACAGTGCTAGAAAACTAGTACAGATTTTGGTACTGAGAGGAGGAGTGCTGCTGTAACAAATACCTAAACATGTGGATGTGGGTGTGTAATTGGTAATGGGCATAGATAGGCACATGGTAAAGAAAGCTTAGATTGTGTTGCAAAGACTGTTGGTACAAATGTGGAAGTTAAAGGTGCTTCTGGTGAGGTCTCAGAAGGACATGAAGAACACATTACTGCTGGAAGAAAGGCAATCCTTGTTATATGTGCCAGAAAACTTAGTATAATTCATTCTAATGTAAAATGGAAAGTTGAACTTATAAATAATGAACTTGGATATTTAGTGAAGGAGATTTCCAAGCAAAATTTAAATGGTGCAACCTGGCTTCACCTCGTTATAGTAAAATGTGAGGAAAAAAAATAATAAACTGAGGAAGGAACTGATAACATGAGGGGGCTTCAAAAATTTCTGGAAAATTATCTTAATTCTAGTTTTCTATGAACTTTTTATGGTGTCCTTGTGTGATGCTGCAGGATAATGCACTGGACCTCAAGGTCGATTTGAACCACAAGTTTGGAGGTTCAAACCCACCAGCTGCTCCTTGGAAACCCTAGACAGGGTCACTTTTTGAAGTTTCTTTGTATTGAAAGATTTTGGAGTTACAGAGTTAATACTGGAATAGGTTAAGACTTTCAGGAATGTTAGGATGGGAAAAATGCATTTTGCATGTGGAAAGAACATGAATTTTGGGAGGCATAGGGTGAATTATTATGGGTTGAATTGCAGCCCCTCAGAAGATAGTTGAAATCCTTGTCCCCGTACCTGTGAATGAAAATAGGATAGTTGCAGATGTAAACAAATTAAGGTGAGGTTATACTGGATTAGTTGTTGTTGTTAAGTGCCGTTAAGTTGGATCTGACCCACAGTGACCCTATACATGGTTTCTGAGGAGCGACTGGTGAGCTTGAATTGCTAACCTTGCAGTTCAAATGGCTTTGCAGTCTGGCACATTAACCCACAGTGCCACAGGATTAGAGCGGGCCCTAAATTCAGTTACTGGTGTACTTACAAGAAGGCCATGTAAAGATACGAAGGACAAAAGAATATAGACAAAGAAAGCATAGGAAAGAAGGTCATGTGAAAATGGAGGCAGGGATTGGAGTTACCTTGCTGTGAACCAAGAAATGCTAAGAATTGCTACAACCACTAGAAGCTGGAAGAGACTAGCAAGAATTCTTCCTTAGAGGCTTTGAAGGGAGCCTGACTCTGCTGACATCTTGATTTCAGACTTTGAACCTCCAGAACTATAAGAGAATAAATTCGTATTGTTTAAATCACTCGATTTGTGGCAGTGTTAGGAAACTGTCCCTCCCATAGTACTCCCTGCTTCACATCTGAGTTTTATAATCCATTGCAATAGCTACACAGAACTCATAACTCACGATTATGGGGTACATTAGGGAAGTGAACAGGGTACATGTCAGGATCAGAAACACCTCAGGATGTAACAGCTTTCCAATCAGGAATGCCTCTTCTCTGCCACTGCTGCAGTCCTGCCTCACTCTTGTCTACAGCCTCTCAGCCAGCTCCAGCAAGCGTTACAAACCTTCTTTAGCCAGTGTGTAAATGACCAAAGGGCTCATTCTTCCAGTCAACTTCCTGCCTCTAGGCACTGAGCTTTACTCAGGCCATGGGCCTAGAAGCCCATGGTTGCTCTGTCTTTCCATGCCTCTGCCGCTGCCTCTGCTGTCACTATTTTTCTAGGTAGGGATCTCACACTCATGTTTCTTGATGATCCTGAGATCATCCATTCCTGTTTCAGAGATGACTCCGTTTAAACCTAGTGGGATAGCAAAATTAACAAACCCCCGTATTAGAGTCCTGGGAGTCCTGGTGTGGCGCTGTGAGTTAATGCGCCAGACTGTAAAGCTGTTTGAACTGCAAGATCTGCAGTTCAAGTTAACCAGCTGCTCCTTGGAAACCCTATACAGGGTTGTTATGGGTCGGAACCGAATCAACAGCACTTCACAGCAATAACAACAACATACCCTATTTGCATGGTCCCATCCAGTCATTTGGTGGGAATGAAGAAGATGTTGGGTAGAAAAGCCATTATCAAGTAAATTCAAGGTACCACAGAAACTAATACACCCAGTTTCCTGCTAAAGCCTCCCTTTCTCCTTTCCTTTTTTCCTCTTTCTCTCTCTTTTCTACCTTTGCTGAGTAACTGCCTTGTTCAGGTATTGTGTAAGCATGTGTCTAGAGAAATAAAATAAGTTCTATGTTTGACCCTGAGGAACTCACAGATTGACATGAAAGGTAAAAAACCACAAAGCAGTCCCCAAAATAGCAAGAGTTAACCTGTGTTAACTTGTCTAAAGAGTGAACTGATCATGGAATCCTTGCTCAAAGGATAAAGTAAGAGGACTCTTGTGGGCTATGGTGGTTAAAAAGGTGGTCCAATTGAAGAATGGGAATGGAATTAGGATGAGAAGTACACCATTAGTAAAGGTACACCATTAGTAAAGCATAAACTGCTGATTTCCCTCTCTTTTTCTGATACAATGATATGTAGATTCCCTTAGGAGCGGGGAGGTTCAGCCCAGGGCTCCACTGATAGGACCTGATAGCTCTCTCATCTGTCTGCTTCTCCAGCTCCCTACTCTTCCTTAAACTGGCGACCACATTCTTACTCCACAGCCTTCTGGAATATATTGAGAAGTCATTCATTTTCTTCTCGCTGCATCTTAGTGAAGTGTGATTTAATGAGCTCCTTGTATTGCTCTGAGACCTGTCATCCTTACTAAACTAGACTTTGATTAGCAGAGCTATAGGCACAGAGTGGGTGGCACGTCTGAGGAGGAACACTTGTTGCTCTTGAATAGGAGAGTGTCTTGAAAGGCTTCATGGAGGCTGGGATACCTAAGCTTAGTCTTAAATGAAGAGTAGGATTTAGCCAGGAAAAAAAGGATGAAAGGGCTTCCTGGCAAAGGGGCTAGTGTATTTAAGAGTGTGGTGATTGCTAGAGATAGAGAAATAGTTGCTGATAATCTGTGCTGAGCACGCTGGGAAAGAAGGCAAGAAAGGCAGGCTGTGTTCAGATGACAGTGAGGATGAGAAGCTTAGTGGTGATCTTGTAAGCGTAAGGCATTTATAAATCAGGGCCAGATTATGGGACTAATCCCAGGGCAGTGGGAGCTCAGAGACGAGATAAATGAAGGCTGGGCTTTAGATAGGTGTTCCTGGAAGTACAGTTGAGTCTGCAGGGCTAAGTTGCGCTTGGACTCACCATGCCCTCCTCTCTCTGGCAGTGACCCGCCACAACCACCTCAAAGACTTCATGCTGGTGGTGTCTATCGTTATTGGTGTGGGCGGCTGCTGGTTTGCCTACATCCAGAACCGTTACTCCAAGGAGCACATGAAGAAAATGATGAAAGATCTGGAGGGATTACACCGGGCTGAGCAGAGTCTGCATGATCTTCAGGAAAGGTAAGGCCCTGCCCTGCCTCTTCCCTACAACTCTGGTGCTGCCAGTTCTTGGGCGCCTATTCCCATGTGGGTTGTAGGAGACCGTGCTGACATGGTGGCCTCAGCTGCATAATTTTTCCAAAGTTGCCTAGGGAGCGTACATTTCTGTGAGTCGTGTTGCCCTTAATGCCCTTATCCCTCCTGAGGAGAACTTGTTTCTCTCTTCAGAGCTTCAGAGGAAGAACTGTGTAGTTGTCACAGATCTTGAGCTTCCTTGCTTAGGTAGACTTGCTATGGAACATTCTATAACTTGTCCCGTTTCTGGACTGCTTCTTTTCCCATCTCAATAGCCATAGCTAGCTATTCTTCACTGTTCCTCAAAGAAATACACCTTTCTTCCTAGTGCCCCTAGTTTTTTCTTGTATTGAATCTAAATCTCTCAAATACTGACTTATATGAGCTTCCAGGACTAATTTTCTCATCAGTAATATGAAGGGTTTGAACTAGGAGAACATTAAGGGCTTTCCAGCTCTGATGGTCTGGGATTTTGTTTAAGTAAAATAGAACTTTAAAACTATGGCAGAAACTTTAGTTGTGAAAAGAACGTTCTAGTCAGTCAGTTGATCTAAGTACTTTCTGACATTTTCTATGAACCAAATCTATGCTGGGAAGTGTAAGTAAGTCACTGCTAGTGGTGCAACTGAACTCACACACAAGAAGGAGCAATGAGGACACCCTGTTGTAGTGACTTAGTTCCAGCTTATGGTGTGAGAACTGTAGGAACAGAGGTTAGATATGTGTGGATATAGGTGAAAAGGTAGCCTTGAAAGATGGCTAGGGAAATCCTGGTAGTTCAAATTAAGTGTAAAGGGCAGGACCAGATCCTTGGGATCTTAAGACTCACATAGAGAAGTGTAGTAGGACGCAGAAGGCAATAAAGAATTAATGTGGAGATTTTTGTTTTGTTTTGGATTAAGAAGCTGGGAGAGGGCCTACTTTAGGACTCTTAGAACAATGATTCTGGCAGCCTAGGGACTCTAGTTTGGAGGTATACAAGGAATCCATGTAAAAAGGTAATGCAGCCTGACTGGGTTTTTTTTACGTTTTTATTGTGAATTGAGTGATAGTTTACATGGGAGAACATCAAATTTGCACTCGTCATTTCATTGCAATGATTACAATCTTTTCTGTGCAGCATCATTCAACAGTGTTTGCTGTATTCCTTTTGTTTTGAGGGGATGTACACTAAAACACTCTGGAATATATAATCATTTAAACAACCAAAGGGCACATTCTGCAAGCCTGCCTAATGGTCACCGGCAAACAGTCTTTTTCTTTCCATGAGTCTAGAGTCCTCAGCTGCTCTGTGTCTCCATGTCCTCACCTCTTCCTCTATCTCTGGTGTCGCTGTGAAGCATAACTCTTATTTTTTAATGACAGATATAATTTCTTTTTTTGAGGATAGCTTAAGTGCCGGGTATAGTTACATATTTAAATGCATTCTTGCTTTCAGTCGCCACAGCCTTTTGAGGTAGGTACTGTTACTATTCTTGTATTAGAGTTGAGGAGTGGAGCCTCAGAGAGGGTCAGCGCTTTGCTAGGGCCACATACCAGTAAGGGAACTAGGAATTTGGACACCCAGAGGGTGCTTACTTTATTGAGGCAGCAGCCTTGCCAGATTAATTACCATGGACTCAAAATTTATAGCTGGTTAAGAGGTGCTGAACTAGGAGTCTGATCTTTGAGCTGATTTCTAGCTGCCCTGCTAGGCCCCATTCTCCTGGGCTCTTTGCCAACTGGGGGCTAACTGCTGCTGTCTGAGCGGTCCCCATACTTCATTGTCTGAAAAACATGCACTGTTTTCATTCCAAAGGCAAAATAATTTAGGCAGGAGACATTCCAAGTTTGGGGATAAAACTAAATCCCAAGCCCTCAAGGCCTCCAGAGCTAAATGATCATACACACACACACACACAGACACAGACACACACACACCTGGCTTACACATGAGCACACCTCTGACAGTATCCAAAGACCACATGCCACCTGGTCCCTTCCTTATTTTAACAGGCCTGTACCGAGCCACCACAGACCTACAGAGCTCCCAGTATTTTGGGTGAATAAATGTAATGCTACATGTACATTCCAGTTAGGATTTCATTAGGTATTCAAGATACTTGTTTGTAATAGGCAGGGATTTTGGTTTCCATCTTACAGTGAAAAAACAACATCAAAACAGGTCTAGTAAAAGGAAGAGACTTGTCTATTGTCATACAACTACTTAGAGTCAGGACTTGTAATCAGACAGTCTCACTTTCTTACTTATAATGCTGCTTAGGAGCCCTGGTGCTGCAGTGGGTTAAGTGTTGGGCTGCTAATCAAAACGTTGGTGGCTTGAACCCATCAACTGCTCTAGGAGAGAAATATGGGGCAATCTGCTTCCATAAATATTTACAGCCTGTGAAACCCTCTGGAACAATTCTGTTTTGTCCTGTAGGGTCACTACAGTCAGAATTGACTCAAGAGCAGTGCATGTGGGTTTTTGGTTTGATTTTAATGCTACTTGATTGTTGCCTTATGATACTCAGTCTTCTGTGGGGGAAGGGTGGGGAGAACAGGGCATAATTTTACATTGATTTGCTCTTTTCTATACCCAACAATATTTCTTGATCTCCCTCTCTACTAGTGGGAGCACGATGGCTCCATATGATATGTGAACCAAAAGGTCTGCAGTTAGAGTCCACCAGCCACTCTGTGGGAGAAAGACGAGTCTTTCGTCTCCCGCGAACATTTAAAGCCTCGGAAACCCTATACAGGATCGCTTTGACAACACTTAACAACAACAACAACAACAAATCTCTACGAGTCCCTCGTGAGATTATGAAAGTGAGCCCGGCTTAGTTCTATTTAAAAGGAGCTTGCTATTGTAAGAGGAAGACTGATATACCATAATATTTGCTTTTCTAAAAAGGCTGCTTTCAGAAAGAACAATATTTCAATGAAGGCTTGAATCTCTAATGGTGGAATTTCAGGCAGTTAGGTCATGGAAGAATGCAATAAATGAAAATCTACAGCAAGGTGAAGCAATGAGGGCTAGGAAATGGCGCCTCTGATTTGTTTTTAGCTATGCAAGTAGCGCCATCTGGTGTGCATTTCCAAGGGGTTCAGCTCTTTTTCTCTCCAGAGGCAAAACCAAACCGAACCCAACCTACTACCACCTAGTGGACTCCTCATAGCAACCCGGTAGGACAGAAGAGAATTGCTCCCCAGTGTTTAGGAGGCTAGATCTTTATGAGAACAGATAGCCTCATTTTTCTCCTGAGGAGTAGCTTCTGGGTTTAAACTACTGACTATGTGTTTAGCAGCCCAATGCTTAAGCTACTGCACCACCAAAACTCCTTTCTGAGACAAAGTAGACAGGAAACTGCAGTATTTCAGCAGGAAACTTGCAACTTCCTCTTCTACGCTTGTCCCACCACATATTTACAGATACGTAGGGTTTTTTTTAGAAGTTGAGTTATGGCTTTGCTACTTTTATTTCATCTACTTAATTAACTCAGTTCTCTGTGGACCCTTCTTGTTCTGTAGCCGCTCCTTGCTCTTCTCTACGCAAGTCTAAGCTCTACCCCATCATCCTTTCCCCCTTGTCCCCTGGCAGTACAGTGGTCTACCAAGGTGGGAAGACCTAATATTAGCTAAGTGTTTTTCTTCTTCCAGAAGGTTTGGGGATGGTGGTGATGGTGTGCCATGGAGTCGGTTCCAACCCATAGCCACCCTGTATAGAGTTTGCGAGGTTATAAATCTTTATGGGAGCAGAAAGCCTCATCTTTCTCCTGTAGAGTGACTGGCAGTTTGGAATTGTTGACCTTGCAGTTTGCAGACTAACTCATAACCCACTATACTACCAGGCCTTCCTTCTTTCCAGAGGGACTAGCACATTTTAGTCTTTCTTCCTGATGCACCTTCCCTGACTCCTTTCAGGTACTGCTGATCACGCCATCCTTTGGGCTCACCTGACACCTCATATATCTCTTTGAACTCATCAGACTGTATGAAGTTATCTGTTTACTTGTCTATGCTGGACTAGATGATGAGTTTTTCAGTGACAGGGACAGTTTTCTGAGTAGTCACCTGAAAGTACTTGGTAGATGAATGTCTGAATGAAACGCTGTCCATTCCCCTGGGCTTTAATTTTCCTATATTTCTGGGAGCAGGTACTTAGTAGTCCAAGAGGTCCCATTCACTAGTTCCTTTCTTATTTTCTTTAAGCCTCCTCACCACCATCGCCCAGTCATAGCTTAGCCATTAGACTTTCCTTGATCTTTATCTAGTTTGCAGAGTATTTTACATATATAGAACCTTCCAGATACCCCAGTATAAGAGATTACACTATATAAAATATATGAAATCTAGATTCTAATCTTACAGATCTGGATAGATTGGAATTCTAGATCTCATATATACCTAAGCCTACATATATTCTAAGTCTATTAATATATCCTTATCTGTAGGGAGGACAAATACCTTATAAAAGCTATTTATGATTTTTATTATGTGAGGCACTTTAGAATTTGGATGCCTTAAAACCTGGCTTCAGAGCCTTGATTGTTGTTGTTGTTGTTGTTAAGTACTGTCAAGTTGGTTCTGACCCATAGTAACCCTGAACAGGGTTTCTGAGGAGCTGCTATTGGGTTTGAACTGCTGACCTTGAAATTAGCAGTACAGTGCCTATCCTGCAGTGCCTCATGTAAGAATGAAGACATGGGAGGTGGTTTCCGTGAATACGTGAATACCAGGCTATCTCAGAGCCAGATAATCAGTCGAGAAGGGGAAACATGTGCCAGGTGCTAGAGCCCTTCTTTTCCTCGTGGTGTGTTGGCGGGCACCCCGTGCCTGGTCTCCACACTTCCCTGCATTACTCCGCAGGCTGCACAAGGCCCAGGAGGAACACCGCACAGTGGAGGTGGAGAAGGTACATCTGGAACAGAAACTGCGTGATGAGATCAACGTTGCCAAACAGGAAGCCCAGCGGTTGAAGGAGCTCCGGGAGGGCACTGAGAATGAACGGAGCCGCCAAAAATATGCTGAGGAGGAGTTGGAGCAGGTAGGAGAGTCTACTAACCCCTAGACACCTCGAGGGGTGGGGAAAGGGTCAAAGATTTTGCTGGAGTTTCATGTGTAAGAACATTGATGTATGGCTCAAAGACTATCTTCTAAAGTCAGTTGTTGTTTAGGTGCTTTGGAGTCAATGCCCACTCATAGTGACCTTAGGCACAACAGAAGGAAATGTGGCCTACTCCTTGCCTTCCTCATCACCATTGTTAAGCTTGAGCCCATTGCTGCTGCCGCTGGACTCTTACCAATATGAGCAGTGGAAAAATTGCAAACAGTGGTCACCATGATTTTCAAAGTTATTTTTCCCTTTCTAGCACATAAAATATTTCCTTAAAATAAAATGCAAGTCATATAGATACAGTTAGAAAATTTTTACAAATATATGGTACCTATGTAATCAACCACTTAGTTCTAGGTGAAGAACCTTTTAAGCATCCCAGAAGGTTTAGTTTTGCCTCACTACCCCCAGGCAATATTCCATCCAAAAGGTAACTTCTGTCATAATCTCTAAACCAAGGATTAGTTGAGCTTCATGTAAATGGAGTTATATAGTTTATGCCCTTTTCTGTTTTTTTTTTCTTTTTTTCGCTCAACATTTATGTTTGTGAGCTTCATCCTTGTTGCTGCATGTAGTGCTAGTTTGTGTAGTGTTATTGCTGATGAATGATCTATTATACAAGTATACCATAATTGTCCATTCTCCTCCTGCTAGGCATTTTGGGTTGTTTGCAGTTTTATTTTACTTTTTTTCTTTTATGAATAGCACTGCTAAAATTTTTCTTGCATATGTCAGTTGGTGTATGTATATATATATTTGTAGAGAGAGATAAAAAGAGAGAATGACTATTGATGTGGTGCTAAACTGTTAATGTCCTGGACTGCGAGGTCGGTTTGAAGCACAAGGTCGGCAGTTCAAGCTCACCAGTTGCTCCTCAGAAACACTATATAGGGTCGCTATGAGTTGGAACCAACTCAAGGACACTTAAAACAACAGCATATATACATGAACAGGGCTTGTCCGACAGAGCCACCATGCTTACACACACACTCAGACACATGTGAGTAAAAAATTATCTGCACCCTGGCTATAGAATTTATTTTAATCAACTTTTAAAAAAGACAAATACATCGTTTTTCAACATCATATCCTTGCTTTTCAATACATTTTGTCCATCTGTCAACAAGTTTTCATATTCCCTTATTAAAGAATGTTTTAGGCTGAGCTTCAAGTCATAAATACACCTCCGTCTTTACTTCTTCATCAGAGGTGAATCTCTGTCCTCAAAGGGCAGTTTTCTGGGGATCAAACAGGTGGAGATCCTATGAAGCAAGATCAGAACTATTGGGAGGATGTTTTAACACCTCAAAATGAAGTTTTTGCAGTGTCAACAGTGTGGGCATGAGTGTGGAGACGTGCACTGTCATACAAGATCACAATGCCCTTGGGAAGCAGTTCTCTGCATTTAATGTGAAGTTTAGGTGTCACTTTAGTGAGCATCTCACTGTCACAAGACTGTTGATTGTTGGACCTTTTTCCTGATAGTATTCCAATACTGGCCTTTGAGAATCCCAGAAAACAGTAAGTATTAATTTTCCAGCTGATGGATGACTTTTGAACTTTATCTTGGTTGGCCATTGAGGATGTTTCCATTTCATACTTTTATTTATGCTAGGCTCGTAGTGATGAATCCATGTCTCGTCACGATTTTTTTTTTCAAGAAAGTTTTACCTTCCTTCAAGTGTCGATCCAAATTTTGTTTGCAGATGTTAAAACACTTCTGTTTATGCTCTTCTGTAAATTGTTTCAGTACCTATTTTGTACAAACTTTTTCAAACCCAAGTCTGTCATGGATTATTTCATAGGCAGAGCCATGGCTGATTTGAAAATGATTTGCCACATAATCCACTGTCACTCATCTGTTTGACAGAATCATTTCACATACATGCTCAATGTTGTCATCAGCCATGGGCATGGATAGGTATTTTAATATAACCAGAGTGCAGATAATTTTTGACTCTGTCTCTTGTATGTATGTGTATGCATGTATCTGTGTATCTTCTACCACCTGTGGCTTGCTTTTCACTCTCTTAATATTATTTTTTGATGAACTGAAGGTCATAATATTGTTGTGGTTGTTAAGTAGCATTGAGTCACTTCCGACTCATAGCTTGAACTGTAAGATCAGCAGTTCAAACTCACCAGCAGCTCCTCAGAAACCCTACACAAGGGTCACTATGAGTATGAACCAGCTCAACGACCCATAACAATAACAACCCATAAGATATTCTCCTAAATTTTCTTGTAGAAGCTTGATTTTTTTATTTTTCACAATGAGGGATATGGTTTATTTCAAACTGATTTTGTGTGAAGTATGAAGTAGGGGACCAGGTTTTAAAAATTTTTTATTTCAACCAAATGTTCAATTAGCTCAAGTTCTTTCATTGAATTGCCCTTTCTTCTTGACTGAATTGTAATGGCTCTGAAAATCACTTATCTTTCTGGAGTCTCAGCTTTATTCTATTATTTATTTGACTACACATTTATCTAATATTTTGACTACACATTTATCTAATATTTTGATATCTGGTAGTATTAGTAATTTGGCTATTCTAGGTCCTTTGCATTTCTATATTAGCTTGTCATAGTGCACTGCTGTCTGCCCTATTAACCCACATCCACAAATCCCTAAGCCCCCAAAATAACCCTGCTGAAATTTTGGTAGTATTTGCTTTGGATCTATAGAGCAATGTGGAGAATATTGATACTTTAACCAAATGATAGTACATGAGCATAGTTTGTCATATGGTGAGATCTTCTTATATTTCTCTCAGATTTTTTAGGTACAAGCTTAGCTCTTTTCTAATCTATGCATTTTAGAGCTATACATTTCCCTCTTAGCACTGCTTTGTTGTTGTTAAGTACTGATGAGTCGATTGTGACCCATAGCAACCCTGTATAGGGTTTCCGAGGAGCAGCTGGTGAGCTTGAACTGCCGACCTTGCAGTTCAAACGGCTTTGCAGTCTGACACATTAAACCACTATGCCACATGAGGACTCCAGCACTGCTTTAGCTGAGTTGAATTTGACTTAACACTGGGTGGTATACTTATGTTGATACGTAACTCTATTATGGGTCATAGTTGAAAAAATTTTTTATTAGTTCATTTAAAATGACAGTATTAAACCCATTACATGTTAACATAAAAACATATCTTTATAAAAATGACTGTTTTCTAAAACATAGTTGTAGAATTCTGTAATATAGTTTATTAAATATCATGATTTTCTATAATTTTATAAATCTTTTGCGTGTCTGGCTTAGTAGATAGCTGGATTCTTATATTAGTAAGCATATTCAGTCTCATGTGCACATCATGTAACCTCTGGTGAGCTCTACAGTTCATATAGGAGATCATGGGAATGAAAAATTCATTACTATGTATTATTATGAAAATAGTTTTTCAGACTTATTTTTTAAACTTTTTGTTGTTGGGAACATATACAGCAGAACATACACCAATTCAGCAATTTTTACATATACAATTCAGTGACACTGAATATATTCTTAGAGCTGTACAACCATTCTCAGCCTCCTTTTCTGAGTTGTTCCTCCCCCACTAACAAACTCACTGCCTCTTAAGTTTTGCTGTCTAACCTTTGGAGTTGCTGTTGTCCATATGATCCCATATAATTAGATCTTGTTGTTGTTGTTGTTAGGTGCCAACGAGTCGGTTCCGATTCATAATGACCCTATGCACAACAGAACACTTGAGTCCATTGTTGCTGCCACTGTGCCACTCCACTTCTTTGGGGGGTCTTCCTCTTTTTTGCTTACCCTTCAGTTTAGCAAGCATGAGGTCCTTCTTCTGGGACTGATAATATGTCTGAAGTATGAGAGACAAAGTCTTGCCATCTTGACTTCTAAAGAGCATTCTGACTGTACTTCTTTTAACACAGATTTGTTTGTTCTTCTGGCTGTGTATGGTACTTTTAATATTCTCCAACACTATAACTCAAATCCATCAGTTCTTCTATGGGCTTCCTTATTCACTGTCCAACATTCACATGCTTATGAGGCTCATGAAAATACTATGGCTTAGACCATGCACGCCTTAGTCCTCAAACTGACAACTTAAAAGTTAGATCTTAAAAGAGTACAATTCCCAGGCAGGCATTCTTTACTAGTTAAGCTAAACTATTGTTTGGTTTTAAGAAGACTTCAGGAAATTTTTTTGGTTAATGTTTAAAAATGATCTCAGAACAATAGTTTTAGGGTTTCATCTAGCCTCTATGGTTGTTGTTGTTGTTAGGTGCCATTGAGTCAGTACTGACTCATAGCGACCCTATGCACAACAGTATGAAACCCTGCCCAGTCCTGGGCTAACCTCACAATTGTTGCCATGCTTTAGCCCACTGATGCTGCCACTTTGCCAGTCTATCTTGCTGAGGGTCTTCCTCTTTTTCTTTGACACTGTGTCTTACAAAACATATCCTTCTCCAGTGATTGGTCCCTCCTGACAATATGTCTGAAGCATGAGAGATGAAGTCTGGCCATTCTGGTCTCCAAGGAGCACTTTGGCTGTACTTCTTCCAACACAGATCTGTTGGTTTTTTTGGTAGCCCATGGTACTTTCAGTATTTTCCTTCAGCACCATAACTCAAAGGCATCAGTTCTTCTACAGTCTTCCTTATTCACTGTCTAGCTTTCGCATGCATATGAGGTTGTTGAAAATACCATGGCTTGGGTCAGGCATACCTTAGTCCTCAATCTGACATCTTTGCTCTTCAACACTTTAAAAAGTTCTTGTGCAGCAGATTTGCCTAATGCAAATTGTTTGATTTCTTGACTGTTGCTTCTATGAGTGTTGATGGTTGATTCAAGAAAAATGAAGTCTTTGACAACTTCAGTCTTTTCTCCATTGATAAGAATGTTATTTATTGGTCCAGTGGTGAGGATTTTTGTTTTCTTTACATTGAGATGCAATCCGTACTGAAGGCTATGGTCTTTGATCTTCATCAGTAAGTATCTTCATCAGTATGCCTCCATAGCTCCAGAAAATCTGAAGTTTGTGAGAATTTGAAATTATGTTCTGCAGCTCCCCCACCCCCCTTTGATCGGGATTACTCTATATAATCTTTGGTCAAAATGTTCGGTAATGGTTGTTTTTGTTAAATGCCGTTGAGTCATTGCTGACTCATAGTGAACTTGCATAGGGTTTCTGAGGAGCAGCTGGTGAACTTGAACCACCAACCTTGAGGTTCAAACTAACATTGCAGTCTAGTGCTTTAACCCACAGTGCCACTCCAGGACTCCTCAGTAAGGGTAGTTGGGCACTATCTAATCCTGGTCTCGTGGGAAAGGAGGCAGTTACTCATGGAGGCAATTAGCCACATATTCCACTTCCTCCTCTTATTTCTGAATCTTTCCTCTGTTACTTCAGGTGAACAAAGACTAATTGTTGTGACTTGGACCCCCCAGGTATCATCACACAATGAAGTAGGAGATAGAGAAAAGCACTGAAGTGTTATTAGACCAATGAACTTGGTATCCAATGAACCATATAAACCAAGGAACCACAGTTTCCATGAAGTAGTCTCAGCAATGACTCTGTTGTTTTCTTTCTGTTGTAAATATATTCATCACACAAATTTTATAGGTGTACAACTTGTTGTTGTGTTAGGTGCTGTCGAGTCAGCTCTGACTCATAGCAGCCCTAGACACAAAAGGATGAAACACTACCTGGTCCTGTACCATCCTTGTAACTGTTGTTACGTTGAAGCCCATTGTTGCAGCTAGTGTGTCAATCATCTCTTTCTCTATTTCACTGACCGTCTGCTTTACCAAGCATGATGTCTTTCTTCAGTGACTCTTCTCTCTTGATAGCATGTCCAAAATACGTGAGATGAAGTCTTGCCATCTTCCTTTCTAAGGCTATGCTGGCTGTACTTCCAACACAGATTTGGTTATTCTGATGGCATTCCATTCCACTTTAAATATTTTTCACCAACACCATAATTCAAATGTATCAATTCTTCTCTTTATTCATTGTCGAGTTTTCACATGCATATGAGATCATTGGAAATACCATGGCTTGAGTGAGATAGACCTTAGTCCTCAAAGAGACATCTTTGTTGTCTAACACTTTAAAGAGGTATTTGGCAGCAAATTTGCCCACTTCAATACATCATTGGATTTCTTGATTACTGCATCCATGTGTACTGAGTATCCAGGTAAAATGAAATCCTTGACAATTTCAATCTTTTTTCATTTATCATGATGTTGTTAATTGATTCAGTTGTGAGGATTTTTGTTTTCTTTACATTGAGATAATAACCATACTGAAGGTTATATTCTTTGACCTTCATCAGCAAGTGCCTCAAGTCCTGTTTGCTTTCAACAAGCAAGGTTGATATCTGCATATCACAAGTTATTAATGAATTTCTCTTCAATCCTGATGCTGCATTCTTCCTCATATAGTCCAGCTTTTTGGATTATTTGTTCAGCATACAGATTGAATAAATATGGTGAAAGCATACAACCCTGACGCACACCTTTCCTGATTTAAAACCATGCATTATCCCCTTGTTCTGTTAGACTAGAACTGCCTGTTGATATTTGTATAGGTTCCACATGAGCACAACTAGGTAGTCTGGAATCCCCATTTTTTGTAATGTTACCCAGTCTATCATAAGCCACACAGTTGAATGCCTCTGCCTAGTTGATGAAACACAATAAAAATCTCTCTGGTATCCTCTGCTTTCAGCCAAGATCCATCTGACGTCATCAGTGAATTGCTCGTTCCACATCCTCTTCTCAGTCCAACTTGAATTTCCGACAGCTCTCTGTTGATGTACTTTTGTAACCATTTAAAAAATATCTTCAGCAAGATTTTACTTGTGTTTGATATTACCAATATTATTTGATAATTTCTGCATTCTTTATGTTCACTTTTATTTGGAATAGGCACAAATATGGATCTTTTCTATTTGGTTGGCCAGGTAGCTGTCTTCCAAATTATTGACATCAATAACATAAATTAGCTGTGCAACCTTACTCTTAATGTGATTTTTCTATCACTGTAAACCAATACTCAGTTCCCCATAGGCAACACCTGTACACTTTCCTCCTTACACCTGCCCTTGATAACCACAAATAAACTTTGGTCTCTGAATATTTGCTTGCTCTTTTTCTTTTTATTTAAGTGAGGTCCATCTGTAAGTGACTTATTTCACTCAGCATAATGTCTTCACGCTCCATCCATCTTGTAGCTATTATCACCACTTCATTTCTCTTACTGGTTGACTAGTATGTACCACATTTTGTTTATTCACGCATCTGTTTATGGGTGCTTAGGTTGTTTTTACCTTTTGACCATTGTGAATACTGCTGTAATGAACATTGGTGTATAAATATTTGTTTGAAGTTTTGCTTTCAAGTCTTTTGGTACATACCTAGGAGTAGAATTGCTGGCCATATAGTAGTTCTCTCTCTCTTCCTCTACTTTTTTGAGTAACTATTTTCAACAACTGCTGTGCTGCTGTGTATTCCCAGCAGCAATGGATAAGGGTTCCAGTGTCCTCATATCCTTCCTGTTTTTTGTTATTTTCTGTTTTTGTTGTTGTCTTTTTAAGCTATCCTGGTGGGAGAAAAATGTCATCTCGTGGTTTTGATTTGTATCTTTCTGATGGCTAATGAAGCTGAGCATCTTTTCATGTGTTTGGTGGCCATTTGATTGCCCTCTTTGGTGAAATGTCTATTCAAGTCCTTTGCTAATTGTATGATTGGGTTACCTGTCTTTTTGTTGTCATCAACTTTTATATATACTTTGATGATTAGATTCTTATCATGTATGTTTCTGAAAATATGCTCCCAGTTGGTAGCTTGTCTTCACCTACATACAAGAATAACTCATTTTAGAAGCATCCACATGAGACTTGTCTCCATGAAGTGGAGGTTAAAGAATGCCCAAATATCTGACTTTTCCAAGATGTTATACCTCTCTACAATCCCTGATATCAACCATCACTCCTTCCCTCCTTCCTGTCTCCCAAAGCCAAACCCAGTGCCATTGAATTGATTCCAACTCATAGTGAGCCTGCATAGGATATCTGAAGCTGTAAAGCTTGATGGGATCCGAAAGCCTCATCTTCCTCCTGTGGAGTAGCTGGTAGATTTGAACTTCTAACCTTGTGATTAACAGTCTCAGGGGTCTGCAATTCACTACAATGTCTCACAGAACACATGACTTGTCAAGGAAATAGCGCATGCAGTTGTGGAGGTTGGCAAATCCCAAAGCCATAGTTCAGATGTCAGTCTGCAGGATTCTTCTCACCTATGTTGTTTCTGGGGCTGAGGAACCCAAATCAGCAGGTCAGATGACAGGCTGTTGATTCAGTAGGCTGTGGAAGCTAGTGAATCCAGTCAGTTAATAAGCTGTAGAGATGAGCCAGATGCAGGATCCAGAGCAAGAGAGCAAACTTTGCCAAAGCAGGCCTATATATTTCATGCAGACCATACCCCTAAAGAAACTAAGGATGGTGACTTGAGTCATACCCTCCAGTAAGGTGGGAACATCTTTAGTCCTTAATTCCACTTTAACACTTAATCTTTAATCCACTTAATCTTGATTCATTACTACAACAGACAACTCACTCCAAAATGAGACCATAACCACAGGCATGTTGCTGTTGTTGTTGGTGTTGGTGATGTTGAGTTAGTTCTGACCCATAGCTACCCTGTATAGGGTTGACAGACCAGTGACCATAACTAGATTGTCAGACTTCCAACCAAATGTTATATTCTGCCACACTGTGATGTCTTGAGGTGCAAGGACAAGACCCCAATTATCGGAAAGAAGAGTCATTTAACTAGCCTGTGCCTCAAGAGAGCAGGGAGAATTGCTGAGCTTGGGCTTATGACCAGGAGAGTTAACTGATGTGATGGGAAAAAGAGTCCTAGTCTGGGAGCAAAAAGATCTCAGTTTGAGTTTTGATTGGTACTACTGACTGTTGACTATGTGACCCTGAGTTAGATTATCTTCCTGCTCTAAGCTCGTTTCTTTATATATAAAATACCTTTTCCTTCTTGCAAAGCTCCCATGAGATGGGAGCCTCATATAGAAGTGTTGGAGAAGGTCATGGTAGTAGTAAACAGACTTACTTTTTCTTGACTTCACAGGTCCGGGAGGCCTTGAGGAAAGCGGAGAAGGAGCTGGAGTCACACAGCTCCTGGTATGCTCCAGAAGCCCTTCAGAAGTGGCTGCAGCTGACACATGAGGTGGAGGTGCAATACTATAACATCAAGAAGCAAAATGCTGAGAAGCAGCTACTGGTGGCCAAGGAGGGGGTGAGAGCTGCCCTCTTGATGCCTTCTTTCCTCCTCTCTTCATTGCCTTCCTCCCTTTTACCTGCTCTTCACTCTGCTCTCTGCCACTTCCTGTCCTTTCCGTTGGACACCTCAAGTGTTTAGATATTACCAGGAAGAAGAGATCCCCTGGTGCTGGGCTCTGGTTTTTGTTGTTTTGTATTTTTCTTTCCTAAATGTGCAGCTCCTGATAATGTCCTCAAGCTTCTGGAGGAGGGAGTGGGAGTGTGGGGATACTCCCAACTGCCTTCTGGGAAAGATAAAGCCAATGGAGGCAGGAAGAGAGATGACTCTGCCAGGTGTAGACTGCCAGCCCCAGACTGCTACAGGGACAGAGTGCCTCCTGGGGCTAGTGAACTGTCAGGAGACCCCTTTACTTCTTCTTTTGTTTCCTCTGTTGTCTCTCTGTATGCCCCCCTCCTTTTCTCTCCCATTGCCTTCTACTTTCCCTTTCCTTCCTCCTTCTCTTCCTTTTCCTCATGCATTCTAAGCTGTGCTAGAAGGAGGTGAACCCAATCACAGGAAGACCTTTCTCAGTTTTCCAACCTCTAATCCTTGCTGTTTTTAAGCTGGGGGCCTCATCTTTGCAGGCTGAGAAGATTAAAAAGAAGAGAAACACACTCTTTGGCACTTTCCACGTGGCCCATAGCTCTTCCCTGGATGATGTGGATCACAAAATTCTAACAGCTAAGTAAGTAGCTCCAATGTCCCAGCCCTGGAAATGTCTGTACCGTCCTCAGAGCTTTGGAGGTGTACAGGGTTTCCAGTTCCAGTTTTATTTCTTCACTAGTGGAAGGACAGCTCTGTTCTGCTCCAGTCAGGTCCAGCTCCCATCGTGCTCTTAAAGTTTATGATTTGATTGTTTTTCTGTTCGTGCATATCTTCCCAACTTGTTCCTCTGAGAAGAGCCCTTCTTTCTCTTGGGGCTCACACTCAGCCCGTGCCTACAATTCTCTTTCATTTGTTCAGGCAAGCATTAAGTGAGGTGACAGCAGCATTGAGAGAACGCCTGCACCGCTGGCAACAGATCGAGATCCTCTGTGGTTTCCAGATTGTCAATAACCCTGGCATTCACACACTGGTGTCTGCCCTCAACATAGACCCCAGCTGGATGGGCAGCACCCGCCCCAACCCTGCCCACTTCATCATGACTGACGACGTGGATGACATGGATGAGGAGATTGTGTCACCCTTGTCCATGCAGTGTAGGTGACCTCTTGGGTGGGGTGAGGGATGGAGCCTTTGACATACAAGTTGAAGTCCTTGCGGTTGAACAATACATGGGACAAATAACAAGGGCAATGGTTCAACTCATGGCCTTGGTTAATAAAGTACAATGACATCAGGATATTTCTTTATGACTGTATTCTTGGTGATTTTTCCTTGCCGTATGATCTGTCTGCTGTCTGTCCCTCTGGGTCTATTGTGTTATATGTTTCTCCCTTCATTCTTTTTTTTTTTTTTTGTATCCCTTTAGCCTCCTTTATTCTCCTATCTACCTTTATAAAATAATCTCCTTTAGTGGTTTATAATTTAAATATGACATTCATTTTGACTTTTTTTTTTAGGCATTTGTTTGTTTTTATTTTATGTTCTTTATTTCTAATTGCTAAAGTAGATTAGTGGAATGGAGTATCTCTTTCTCTTAGCATTTTTGTGTGAGGCCCCATGAAGCATGTAATCTCTTAAAAGTCATGCAGACCTAAATCCTCTAAGGCAGAGAGACATTCTTGCCCAGGAAGTATCTCCTGCACAAGCATGCCTGGCTTCCCACCAGAACTCTTGGACCTGCCTGCCTCTGTCCTTGGTCTTTCCTCTCCTCTCCCCTGTGGGTGGTGAGCAGTGCCAAAGTGGAATTCTTTAGTGAATGAAGGAACTTTTCCCTACTGATTAATGGTTGAAGTTTTCTTTAGACCCAAAGCTATTATAAGTAAATAGAATAGGTTTTTACGGAAAAGCTGTTGTCCCAGGCCCATATCCCAACAGTGCAGGGAGATGGCAGAAAATTGGGGCTGAACTAGGAGCTCACTTGCAGAAAACCAGATTCATGCTCCTAACAGATTTTTTTTTGCAAATTTCCTCAATGTTTCTTTGCCCCCCCCCCGGTCAAGCTGCTGTCTCCCAGATCAGATACTTAGCCCAAAGGCCTCACACGGGTAGGATCCGTGACAGGCAGTGTGTGATCCTGACTTACTGAGCTAGACTCCTACTTTCTCTGGGTTGGGAGGGACCCTTGTTAACTCTGAACTACCCACTCGTTGCTCCTGGCCCTTTCCTTCCCCCTTTGAAGGGTAGGCTGAAGCCTTCTGTAAATCAGATTCTCTTCTCCTTTTGGCCTGGCTGTTGGACCCTAGATGCTGCCTGGCTGATGGGGCGTAGGTTCAGTGACCGCTCAATCTGCTCTGCATCCGCCGGCTCGGATGATCAGTCCCTCTGGAAATACCCGGGTTTGAGGAGCCCCTTTGGGGCTTTTGTTTTTCCAACTTTTGGAACTAAACCAACACTTCTACCCCATGGGCCCCTTCTCCTGCCTGCCTCACAGCCCTGCCTGCTCCCTCTATCTCCCCAGCACTGTCCCTACTAACTGCAGGGAGAGGTTTGGGTGGGTGAGAAGAATCAGCCTGCTTAGCTGAGGGCTGGAGAGAACACCCATGGTGATGGAAGACTTAGGCTTCTCCCTTCAGCCCAGTTAGGCAGCTGTTTTGAAGACCTTTCTTCAACTGGGCTGGGATGGAAAGAAGGAAGGAAAGATCTCCTTCTCTTCCTTCTTTTTCCTGTTTCACTCTTCCCTCCCTATTTCCTCCACCTCTCTGTCTCTTCTCCTGCCTTCTCTATGCTGTCTCTCATCCTTTATTCTCCTTTTTGTGCATTGAAAGCCATCAGCCCTAGAAGCCCTGCCTTTTCAACTCTCCATCACCATGGAATTGTGCTCTCTCCCTGGACGCCCTTTCAATGCTTCTGCCACCCTATAACCTGGCCATTTCTCCCACCTATAAGGAGAAAGCAGTGTGGCCCATTTATCAGGGTAGAGGAGAAGTTCCCTTTTAAGCTGGAGCTGGGCCTGAGCTCAAGGGATTCCTGGGGGTGGGGATGAGTTTGATCACATCCTTGAGTTACCTAGTGGCCATGTTCCCTTCATTGGGCATGGTGGCCTTCATCTTCTAAGAGTCTGATTTGCAGCACTGATCCAAGAGCTGTTTAGTTGTTTTTTACATGATTATTGGGGACATTTGGGAAGTAAATAAGAATACATAGCAGAAAAGGCATCCATTCTGCCAGTTTTTTGTTTTATTTTCTGTGAAAAATTTTTTTATGTGGTTAAGGTAATAATTTTAATAAGAATACATTAAATGACTGCTACCATTAAGGGTCCTGGTGTGGTGCTGTAGACTAGGCACTGGACTGCTAACTACAAGGTCAGCGGCTCAAACCCACCAGCTGCTTCTTGGAAACCCTATATAGGGTCGCTATGAGTCAGAACCGACTCGATGGTACTTAACAACAACAACCATTTATTAAGTGCCAGGAACTGTGTCAGGTGTTTTAAGGACATTACATAGAACCCTCAAAACAACCTTGCAGGACTTTGTAAGTTTGGAAAAACAAGCTCAGAATGTGGAAGTGAGTTGCTCAAAGTCATACAACTAGAAAGCGAAGCCTGGTTTCAAGCTTTATCTTTATCCTAAACTCAAGATATTTCTATTTCATATGATTTTGTTGTTGTTGTTGTTATGTGCCGTCGAGTCGGCTCCGACCCGTAGCGACCCTTTACAGGGTTTCCGAGGGTGTAAATCTTTACGGGAGTAGAAAGCCTCATCTTTCTCCCGCGGAGCAGCTGGTAGTTTCGAACCGCTGACCTTAAGGTTCGCAGCCCGATTCGTAACCACTACGCTACCAGAGCTCCTGGTTTTTGTGTTTGTTTGTTTTCACTTTGCATTTTAAAAGACATTTTTACATGTTCTTAAAATCTTTTCATAAGCATCATTTAAAGTATCTATCTAGTCTTCCAGCAACTGGATATTATTGTTTCATTGATCCATTTTTATATTTACTTTAATATAACGATGTGATGAACATGCTTGTACAAGGGAGCTTCAAAAAGTTCATGGAAAAATGGAATTAAAAGGTAATGAAAAATTTCCATGAACATTTTGAAGCCCCATCATATATAAATCCTTGTCTAAATTGTGGATTATTCCCTGAGAATGGCTTTTAAACAAGGCTGATTCTTAGTGCTCTCCCGGACCTCACCCTAAGCCCCTATCCTACCTTCCTCTGCCTGTGTCCTCCCACTAACTGCCTTTATAATGACATTGACCTCAGGTCTCCTTCCATTGGAACTGCCACTAAAACTGACCCGAGCACCTTCTCTTCAGTTTCCCCTTCCTTTCAGGTTCCCTGGTGGGAGGAGGTACCCCATTCTCCAGATTGGGCATCAAAAGCCCAGAGTGGTCTCCAACAGACATTTCTCCACGGGCAGTCCTGCTTGCCTGACAGCCCCACTCCTGCCCTTCCTCATACTCTCCTCATTCTCCTTGCAGCCCCCAGCCTGCAAAGCAGTGTCCGGCAGCGCTTGACGGAGCCACAGCATGGCCTAGGATCTCAGAGGTTGGTAGAGGGTGAGGCTGGCCACTTCTTGACAAGCCGGGTCTCTCTGCGGCGAATGCGCAGCCTTTCATCTGGACAGTCTTTCAGTTCTGAAGGCCACGGGACCAGCCCTCCATCTGCCTGCGCTTCTTCCTCCTGCTGCTCTTCCACCACTACCACCACCACCACCACCACCACCACCACCACCACCACCACCACCGTCCATGTCCACCCTGTCTATTACCACCAGAGCACTTCCTATTTCCTTCAGATGGAGCCCTCCCCTGACCCACCCCCTTCTGACAGCACCGCTGTGATGCCTGGGCATTCAGAGAGCTTGGGGTATTGGCTGTCTCTCTTCTCTTCACTTCTTCCCTTCCTTCTTTTTTTGCTATCTTCACTTTGTTCTCTGTCTGCTGGCTGCTGCTTGGTCAGTTGTGGGTATGCGTGCAGTGGAGAATCTTCTCCTTGTCTTGTTCTTTTCCTGCTCTGAGACCCCTCCTTAAGGTCACACTAACGTCCCATTCCTTTCTCTCCTTCGCTTTCTCTGTCTGGTATTTGTTGCCTCTGAAAATGAATAACAGCCATCCTCCCTCACAGTCCTATAGCACTAAAATAATACACTTTCACATCACTTATCTAAGTGGGGCCTCACTTCATTTCCTTCTTCAACAAACATTTATTGGTACCTACTCTGTGCAACCTCAGCCATCACTGACCACAGTCTGGTATTGGAGAAGTACATCAATTATTATGAGACAATTTGACAAGTGCTATGGGGGTGTCGAAGAGGGAGTGACTAACAGTATGTACCTGGGGTGGAACACTTCACAAAAGAGATGGCATTGTGTTGGCACCCATACAGGGAAAGAAGAAAGAGTATTCTAGGCAGAGGACACATGTGCAGAGGCATGGAAGCTCAAGAGATTATAAAGTCTATGAGATTAGAACACTGGGATGCTTTGGTAAGAAGGGGCAACAGATGAAGCTGGAGTGATGAAGGGCTCTGAAAGGCTAAGGACTTTGGCCTTTACCCTTTAAGAGATGGATAGCTGCAGATGGGTTTCTACAAAAATCTGATCATTTGGCCAGATTTGCATTTTAGGCATGTATTAAGAAAGGGTTGGAATTTAGAAGCCATGCCATGCCTAGCTGGGGAGCGTGCTGGCTTCATACAACAAGCACTAAATTATGAACCACAAGGTCCACTGGTTGAGCCTGCTAGCCACTCTGTGGGAGAAAGATGAGGCTTTCAGTTCCTGTGAAGATTTAAAACCTCAGAAGTCCTATAAAGGGTCACTATGAGTCGGAATCGACTCCATGACACTTAACAACAACTTGCCTAGCTGTTAACAAAAGGTTAGAGGTTCATCAGGTCCATACAGAGGCTTCTAGGAAGAAAGACCTGGCAATCTACTTTTGAAAAATCAGCTATTGAAACCTCTATGGAGGACAGTTCTAATGTGACACATACGAGGTTTCCAGTAGTCTAACGGACTCCGTGGCAGCAGATCAGCAGGGTTAAGTGGTTTGGGGATAGAAAAGAGGATTAATTGGTGGCTGACTGTGGAGGATGAAAGAGATGGAGAGATCTAATATGCTACCCATATTTGTAGCTTGGGTGAATGAATAGATTTAGTACCCTCCAGAGAGTTAGGGAAAAGAAGAGAAGAAGCAGGTTTTGGGGGAAGATACTACGCTCTGGTAGCGTAGTGGTTACGAATCGGGCTGCGAACCTTAAGGTCAGCGGTTCGAAACTACCAGCCGCTCCGCGGGAGAAAGATGAGGCTTTCTACTCCCGTAAAGATTTACACCCTCGGAAACCCTGTACAGGGTCGCTATGGGTCGGACCCGACTCGATGGCACTTAACAACAACAACAACATTTAGTTTAGGACAAGAAAAGTTTATAGATAAGGTTAGGCATTAAGGTATTCATTTTCAGAGAAGAAAATTAAGATTCTGAAAGGTTAAATAACTTTCCTTGGGTCCCACAGCTAATTAGGAGCAGAACAGAATTAGAACTTGTCTTTCCATTCCAGGATACGCTGTTAGAGTAGTTTTGTCCTTTCACAAAGTCTAAATAAGTGAACTGCAAAAGACTTTCCCTGCTAATACCTCAAGACGCTACGCTAAGGTCACAACTAGTAGTCTTGACCTTGCCTGGAGCAAGCTTAGGGGGACCCTCAGAAAGCCCCTCTGCCCTGGAAGGACCACTCTTCTCTGAAGTTGTGACCATGGTCAGTCCTGGCCTCTGGGCTGCAGCCTGCCTCCTCTGTTGCTTCCTTTGGGTCCTGCTTCACTCTGGATACCAATCTCTCTTGCTCTGACCCTTGAAATTCTGGAGAGTTATCCTTGAGGGCAGTTCCTTTCTCTTCCACAAAAGAACTGCCTTTACTAGGGTCATCACTTAGCGGAGCTGTTCATATTCACTCTCATCCTCATTTTCATCTATGCAGGGAGACTGCCTCTCCCAATATAAATGGAGAGGACTGAATTGGGTTGGGGGCACTAGTGGGTGCTGTGAATCTCATGCCCCCAGAACTAAGCTGAGGGCAGAGGGGAGGGAGGGAGGGAAAGTACCTGCGTCTACCTGGCCTGTTTACTGCTTAATTTTCTTTTGCACCATGCACCAGAGGATCATCTCTAAAAGCAAACAGGCTCTCTAGTAAGGTTAGTAGCTTGGGAATGGGAACCCAAGGCAGCCTGGCCTTTGGGGAGGGATACTCTTGGCCTGAGATTCACAGAGCGAAGATGAACCTGCCTAGTGGGCCGTTTCCCTTCTGTATCTACCTAGGTTTCCTCCCAGGTTCTTCTCTTGTCTTGGGGATCTCAGCTTTTAGTTGATGAGGGAGGCATAGGGGGATGGGAATGAAGACTAAATGGGGCTGCCGGCCAGGAGGAGTGAGGGCCCCAACTCTTGACCTCTCTTCCTCTGTGTTAGACAGTTAGGCTTCTAGGATCCTCACCTCCTCAGTTTAGTGGGTCCCTTTGCCTTGTGTGTTTGCTCCCCTGAACTTCCATGGCACGTTGCTCAGTGCTTCATGTGTGTGGAGAAGGCAGGAGACAGAGAGGATCATCTTGGGGCCCAGAGCCATGGGACACATTTAGGTAGAACAAGGACAGTATTAGATGTATGAGATCAAGTATAAAATCAAATATTGGAAAATGCTGGAATATGTGGCTGGAACAGTGTTTGCAGAACAGAGGCTGGAGCTGTAATTGTTCTCTGTACTCTCCCATGTCTTGAGGAAGGTACTGACCCACGGGGTGACTGCTTAGTTAGTTGTTTCCTACTGAGACTTAAATCTGCAATAGCTATGAGCTAACCCATGCTTTTGCCCGTTTCAGTGGCCCGGTGCCCTTCTGACTTCCGACCTTCAGCATCCTTCTTTCCAGGTCCTGTGGTACTCTCCTCTCCCATTCATGACTCCTTTCCTTTGGTTTCCTGACTCACATGTTTAAACATTTCCCTTAACCCTATCCTCTGCCTCTGCCATGAATTCTCAGGCCTCTGGAAAGCAGAAGGAGGGTTCAGGGACTGATTTTGGGGCCCTCATATCTACCCTTTTATTTATAGAGGTGGAAGGAGTAAGATCTAGAATTAGTCCAAAGCCTTTTTAGGAACAACCAGTCACTTAAAGGGTCTCAAGTTCCTGGTTGAGCCTCTGTGTGTGCATGTTAGTGTGCAGTGGCATGTCCCCATAACTCAGCCTTGCAAAGATACCCCTGTGGCTTGCCCACATGCAGCCCTTCCAGCTTGACTGGCCTCAATATCTTTGTTCTTATAATACTTTTACATTTCCAAGTGTTTTGTCAACATATTTGAGCCTCTAAACCATCTTGCAAAATAAATGAATTGTTTTATCTTCATTTGGACCAAATTGAGGACCAACAAAGTTAGAAGACTTGTCCAAGGTCACATAGCAAGCTTCAGGAAGAGGTGGAAATTAAACTAGATAGAAATCTAGACTTCTAGTTTAGAGTTCTTCTGAGTGACTGCCCCTTAAAGGCCAATGCCTAGATTCTTCCTGTCAGCAGAACTCTGAAAGATTCCACCATTCCTGTTGTAACCACAATTTGAATTTTTGCAACACATTATTTTTTCTTTTTCTGTGACCTTCTTAGCATCCTGTGAGAGGGTTGGAAGTGGCAGCATTCTGGTTTTTTGGAGTTGGTGAGGGATTGTTTGCAAGGCTATTCTAACCTTCTCCTCCCCAGCCTGGGTCAGGCCCACTGACTGCATGTACCCTGTTCCTTGGGGCCTGACCCAGAACTGGATAGATCTCAGAATGACAGGAGGAGGTGGGGGAAGAAGAAGCCATTGGAAATGGTGGCCTAGAGGTGGTTCAGAAATAGTGATTCTGTATGAGCTTAGGGTTAAGCCAGCTACGGGAAGGAGGATATTTTATTGAGGAGGACACCTGTGGGGTTAAGCTTATGATTGTACCAACTCAGGACCTGGGTATCCACCAGGAGCTGACCACAGTCATTGAAAAGCCCGTTGCTAGGCAGATGACGGCATAATGACATTTGTTTTTGTTTCTTCTTGTCTGTCTCTTCTCTCCCCTCATCCCTCCCATCCCATCTTCTTGTATCTGTCTGCTCTTTCCTCATCCCCAACTCTACTGTCTTCTGTCTTTTACCCAATCTATCTCATTCCCTATTCCTGTCTCCTTTCATTTTGTACCTCTGGCCTACTTACCTTCCTCTGTTCCTTTCCCCTCTCTCTTTTTTACTTGCCTATCATTGTATATATTTTTTCTGTTCCTCTTTCTATTTTCACTTCCTACCCTTCCCTCTTCTTCTCATATTGTCCTTTTTTCGCCTCAACTTCTCCTGTCTCCTCTCCTGTATATGCTCCTTTCCTTCTGCCCTGTGTTTTGTAGGGATTTGACCCATTCCGATTCGGAGTCCTCCCTCCATATGAGTGACCGCCAGCGGATGGCCCCCAAGCCTCCTCAGATGGTTCGTGCTGCAGATGAGGCTGTCAACGCTATGACTTCCAATGGCAGTCACCGGCTGATTGAGGGGGTCCACCCAGGGGCTCTGGTGGATAAACTGCCCGACAGTCCTGCCCTGGTCAAGAAGGCACCACTGGCACTGAACCATGGGCTGGATAAGGCCCACAGCCTGATGGAGCTGAACCCCTCAGTTCCATCTAGTGGCTCTCCAGTTTTGGATTCTTCCCGTTCTCACAGCCCCAGTTCCCCAGACCCAGACACTCCATCTCCAGGTGGGGACAGCCGAGCCCTGCAGGCCAGTCGAAATACACGCATTCCCCACCTAGCTGGCAAGAAGGGTGTAGCTGAGGAGGATAATGGTTCCATTAGCGAGGAGACAGACTCCAGTCCAGGCCGGAAGAAGTTTCCCCTTAAAATCTTTAAGAAGCCTCTTAAGAAGTAGGCAGAATTGGCATGGTAGTGGTGGGACAGCTTGTCCTTTGCTGGGTCTTCTGCCTCCTTATTCTTCACCCCCAAGATACCTGGGCCCTAGAACGAGGCATGGGAGGGGCTGGTCCAGGGGCCTGGGCACTGTACATACCCACTCTCCTTGTCCTTGGGTCCTTCAACATTATTTATTAACTGACCACCCTGGCCTGCCTGCCCTGCCTTCCTCCCAACCATGGGCTGCTGCTGTCACTCCTTAAGTGCATGTCTTAGTTGCTATCCCCTTTCTGCCCCTGAGCTCCTGGCTCCACCTCTGGGGTTCAGCTTCTGCCTCTTTGTCCCAGTTTTGAGGTTTGGTTTCTTGTTTCTCTCTGTCTTATACTTTCAGGCCCCTCCTTTTCCCCCACTTCCCCTAGCAGCTTCAGGGAAGACAGGTGGAGTCACTTCTGACCCCTGTGCCTCAGATCAGTCCCACCCTACCATGTGTGCCCCAGACTAAGGTGTAGGGCCTAAATTTTGGCATTTGTTCTTTGGGAGTATGGTGGGCCTTAGGAAACCTCAGCCTTGAGCTCACTTAGGCCTCTGGAAGTCCATGGGGAAATGAAGCCAACTCCCAGGAAATAAGCCACCAAAGACCTTTGAAAAGAGACCAGGCTAGGGGATGGGTAGGGAGAGACCTTTCTTAGTTGGAGGATGAGTGGATACCAGAGCTGTGTGCTACAAGGCAGTCACCTTTCTTTCCCACCCATACCTGCCATCCTTTTCCCCCTGCTTACCCATACTGCAGGAGGGTTTGTCTCTAAGAGGTGCTGCCCTAATGCTCCCCAAGCATAAGTACTTCTGGGGCTCAGGACAATTGGCTCCCTGGCTATGGGAGCCACAGCCATGATACAGGTACCAGTGGGCCCTGTAGCTGTTGGACAATGATGCTGTTGCATTTGAACCAAAAGACAAAAGTTTAAAAGTGAAAAAAGAAATCTCCTGAATTTCCCAAGTGCCTGCACCACATACTCCCCTTGTCATATCTTATTTTCATATTACTGCATTGCCTGGACCAGAGGCTCAAAAAGGAACCAGTTTGGGGAAGGGGTGGCAAAAGGAAGATGGTGTAGGTGAAGGCGACTGTGTGACCACTCCACCCCCTTTCCCTTCCTAGCCTCTAGACAACACCCTCCCTTACCTGTTTTTGCTATGGCTGTTAAGGTATTTTCCCCTCTGCCACACTCCCTGTCATGCCGCTACCCTAGGATCCTATTTTGGGCCTGGGATGGTTGTACCTGGGGCTGGTCTTAGGCGGGTGCTAGGCTGCAGACTGCCTTGTACTCTCTGGACCCCCTCACATGGGTTTTTTTCTGTGTCATTTCATAAGACTCTTTGAAGCTCAATAAAGCATGTAGGAGATTTTAATTTGTTCTGGCTTTGATTCTCATTGAGTTCTCTGTGCAGTTTTGGGTGTAGCAGGCAGGGGATGAAGACGAGACTAATTTGCTTCTGCCAAGGGGGAAGTAAAACTTGAATGCACATGCCCTAATATCATTATGGGTAGGGTTACCAGATAAAATTTAGGATGCCTAGTTACGTTTTACTTTCAATAAGCAATTTTAGTGTCATTATGTACCATGCAATATTGGGACACTTTTTAAATTTGCTAAATCAGACATTTCATCTTGACCCTATCTATTTTATAACTTCATCTACTGTCTCTTAGGTCCTTTTATAGAATTATGACACAGGGAAATTGGAATTTATGTGAAGGGCAGTGAGGAACCAGTGAAAGATTTTAGGGAGGGAATGCCAAAGACAAGATTGAATAAAGATCAGTTTGTGTAGCCCAAATCAGAGATTTTTACTAAATCTTGTATAGGAGGGCTATCCACAGTCACCAAGCCATGTCCATTCTTCTTGTTGTAAAGTGCTGTCTAGTGGGTTCCGACCCACAGCGACCCTGTATAGGGTTTCCGAGGAACAGCTGGTGAGCTTGAACCACCAACCTTGCTGTTCAACTGGCTTTGCAGTCTGGCACATTAACCCACAGCGCCACACCAGGACTCCATGTCTATTCTACCACCATCTTATTGCTGACTGTCTCTGCCACTATCCACTGAAAGCAATTGGGTCTTAGTCTTGCCCTGCGTGAAATTCTCCAGGGCTTCTATTCCCATTACCCCTTTGACCAGGCTACTCTAAAATCTGTAGGACTCTCAACTGCTCCAGGTTGTAGATCCTAGGCTAGGACCCACATTGGACTACAGTCTCAGGGGGGTGTTAAGTGCCAGAGTGGGTTCCGACTCATGGCGACCTTATATAGGGTTTTCAAGGAGCACTCAAAATGAAGAGAAACAGCTGTAAACATCCATTAATAATTGGAACATGGAATGTACTAAGTATGAATCTAGGAAAATTGGAAATGGTCAAAAATGATATGGAACACATAAACATCGATATCTTAGGCATTAGTGAGCTGAAATGGACTGGTATCGGCCATTTTGTATCTGGCAACCCCATGGTTTATACATCGGACATGTTGTCCAGTCGCTGGAGAAGGCTATCATGTTTGGTAAGGTAGAGGGTCAGAGAAAAAGAGGAAGACCTCCAGTGAGATGGGTTGGCAAAGTGGCAGCATCAATGGGTTCAAGCGTAGCAACAACTGTAAAGTTGGCCCAGGACCGGGCAGTGTTGTGTTGTGCATAAGGTCACCATGAGTCGGTACTGACTTGATGGCACCTAATAACAACAAAGGAGCAACTGGTAAACTTGAACCACCGACCTTGCTGTTCAAACCGACTTTGCAGTGCAGTGCATTAACCCACAGCGCCACCCCAGGACTCCACAGTCTCGGGGTAGTTGTAATGTCATAGTATGGCCAGGGTCCAGGAGTTTGCGCCTGTGCCACCCCGGGCCTGGCCGGCACTAGCACTCAGAGCCCGCCAGGCCCAGCCCTGCCCCTTTCCTCTGCCCGCGCCCGCCAAATCAAGACGGTTCAAATATTTTTAAGATAACAAATATCCAAGCATCCAAAATACATTTTCTTGTTTTGATGACTATTAAATTATGGCAGTCTCGGGACACTCATAATGTAATAGTCACTGATTTGGCGGGCGCGCGCGGACGAGAGGGGCCGGGCCTGACGGGTTCTGCATGTTACGTCAGTGCTATGCGGCCGTATCGCCGGGCGTGCCCACACTCAATGTGGCTGCGGGACAGGCGCAATCCCCAGAACCCTGCCCATACTCAATATGGCGGCTATTGGGCTACACGGCTTTCCGCTAGTTCTGCCCTGCCTCCGGGCGTTGCAGGGTCGAGAAACGTCATTTGACCCTGTCGCACAGGTTCTGCGTCACGGGTGGCGGGAGCGGGAAGGGGATTTAGATTGCCGCGCCTCTGATCGGGTGAGGAGAGTGCAGTTTGTGCGCCACTCCTGCCGGTCCTGAGCTCCTATCGCGCAGTCCGTGGAACTGGAGCTTTCGTACCTTGCCACCTTCGCGATCTCGCCGACTCCTCAGCTGCAGCCCGAGTCGAATCCCTCAGCACCTCTGCCACTAGCTGCCATGCATGTAATCAAGCGAGGTGAGGGGCCGGGGAGGGGGCGGCAAGGTAGGTAAGGGAAGGAGAAAGGGCGTGCGGTTTGTGGGTAGGGGGATAAAAGGGACGCCCGTTACCCTTTGCGTCCCTTCCCGCCTCTGCTTCCCGCCCATCCCGCCTCCGCTTCCCGCCCTATCAGCCTATGCGGCCTTCGGTCTTCACTACGTCTGAGCTTCCCCGCCTCGGCGTTGTCACTCTCGATTATCCAAAGAATCACCCCTACCCGCTGTTGAGGAGCTTTGTGTGCGCCCAACACTTTACAGACCTAATTTTATTCCTCACCACGAGCTTGTGAAGTATGGATTATTAGCCCCACTTTACAGGTGAAGCTGAAGCTTAGAAGTTTGTCGCCGGGTGCAAAGTCACCCAGTTAGTTGATAGCGAGGCCGGGGTTCGAACGCATAAATGGCAGTAGCGTTTCATTGTTGTTGTTAAGTACCGTGGAGTCGGTTCCGACTCATAGTGACCCTGCCAAGGGTCTCCGAGGCTGTAAATCTTTACGGGAGCAGAAAGCCTCATCTTTCTCCCGCGGAACGGCTGGTAGTTTCGAACTGCCGACCTTGAGGGTTGCAGTCCGATTCGTAACCGCTTATTTGGAAACCTTGGGGTTATTAAGCTGTCCTAGGCCCAACCTTGGGAAAAAGTTCACACCATCAGTTTGGCAAAACAGCCACACACTTAGAACAGAACCATTTGAGACAGGTAATAAATTTTGAGTTGAATCTGCTTGCTGCTGTTAAAACAATTATTTCAGAATTGTAAGTTGCCCTTACAATTGGTGAACTCGTGACAAAGTAGAACTGACCCGCAGGGCTTTCTTCTGAGAAGGTCACCAGGCCTTTTCACTTGCAGAACCTCTGGACCAAACCAAACCCACTGCCAGCAAGTCGATTCTGATAGGGTTTCGAGGAGCGCCTGGTGGGTTTAAACTGCTAACCTTGTGGATACTCCAGTAGTTTTCCTGCAGCACCCAGCCATTCTGGACATTCTGGAAATACAAGTTGACTGTTTCTTGGTTTGGCCATTAGGTGGTGAACATTTCAAAGACTGGGACTTTTCTACCTATGCCTAGCATAGAATCAACTATGAATGGGTTCTCAAAGAATTAGTAAGAATAATTATCAAAATGTAGAATATGGAAACCTTATACAGGGTCACTATGGGTCGGAATCGACTCAATGGCACTCGACAACAACAACATATGTAGACAGGTAAGTTGATTTGGTGTGTCCAAATTGGCTTAACAACTTCAAGAGATGGAAATGTAGACAGTGACAACCTTGGTTTTGTTTTTGGTATATGACATTTGAGAACCCTGTTTTGAATGTTTCTAGCCCCTCCATTTTAGCTAATGAGACCAGACCAAAATTCATAGTCATTGGTGTCCAGGTGACCCCAATTCATGATGACCCCTTATATGTTAAAGTAGAACTACTCCATAACATTTTCAGTGGCTGATTTCTCTGAAATAAATCTCCTGTCCTTTCTCCCAAAGCACTTCTGTGTGTACTTGAAGCTCCCAAGTTTTTATTTCATAGCTGAGGAGTTCATTAACCCTTTGCATTGTATTGGTTCATTTCTGTGTATGAGAGATGAACATCCAGTTTTGCAGACCCTTAGGAAGGGATATTTAAAGATGATGTCTTGAACAAAGATGACATGAAAACTTGTGGACCTAGATTACTTGAGTGGCTAACGACTTTGTTGAACTTCTAACGTTTTGGATCTTTGGAATGCTAGTATAAAAAGCACCTACCCACAACAGTCTCTAAAAGGCAGGGCTTATTTTGGTTCTCATTCCTTCAGAGAACATAATTTGATCCAGATGTTTCACTACTCTGAACCTTTCAGCATTTATTGTGCTTTGGTTCAAGTAAGTACAAAATTACAGATTTTTTTTTTTTAATGTGGTTTGGCTTTTATTTATTTATTTTCTAAGACTAACTTGTAGTTTTTGTTGTAAATCTTAATATAATTTAGGAGAGCACCTGGTGGTCAATTGTGTATTTACTGAGTCTGCTTGTATCTTGTTTAGTACTATGAGAGAATAATGGAGAAGTCAGCTTCTTGAAATAACAAGGATATGGAAAGAATCCGTATGAAAATTGTTAGATAACAAAAGAGAAGAGTAGATAAATTTTTCTTAACTGCTTTTTAAGCTTTTCCTTATGAGAGAGTATCATATCCTTCAAGGAGGTTGAGGTTAAAAAAAAAAAGGTACAATAAATGCAAATTAGCTGGCTTTGTGTTTTGGAATTTAGAATAGTGTTTTTTAAAAGTTTGGATTGTATTCCATACTAAAAAACATGTTTTAATGTCATGACTGAGTATGTATATCTGCGTGTGTGTGTGTGTGTGTATATATATATATCTGAAACAGGTTCATGAAATAATACCTTCTAAAGTGTTTGTATGGAGTCCTGGTGTGGCGCTGTGGGTTAATGCGCCAGAATGCAAAGCCATTTGAACTGCAAGGTCAGCGGTTCAAGCTTACTAGTCACTCCTCGGAAACCCTATACAGGGTCACTATGGGTCAGAACCGACTCGACGGCACTTAACAACAACAACATATACCTGTACTACTTGACTGAAAATTGGACCACAAGGGTGAGTTCTGTTCCAGACCTGAAGGATGGCCAAGGGCTGTAGTCTCAGAGCTGAAGGATGGCTGAGGGCCATAGTCTCGAGTTCCAGTCTCTTTCTAACCAGTAAGCCAAGTCTATTTTTATAATTTTGAGTTTTGTACCATATTTTCTCCCACTCAATCTGGGACCTTCTAGTGTGATCCCTTTCCGAGCAGTTGGCAGTGGTAGCCGGGCACCATC